TAGTTGTTGTTGTTTGGCTGTTTGTTGTGTTGATGATGTTGCATCTTTGTGCAAAACTAGGTTATGGAAAGAAAAGTGAAGGGCAAATTTGTTTATAGAAAGGAAACTAGACATTCCAAAGCCAACAACTAGATAAATGCTTTAACCACTTCTCTCTCTCTCTCTCTCTCTCTTTCTCTTTCTCTTCACCAATGTCTAATTGCAGTTAACGCTCGTCTCGGATGCGTATCAAGGCAGCCAGGAGCTGGAGCTACCTGTTGATACGACGCTATCCAGTTTACATGTGCGCATCGATGCCAACATGCGACGTGCCACACTGGCAACGCCCAATGGTGGTTAGTTCAACCAATAAACCCCAATCCAAACCCAAACACACAAACACATACACACACATTACACAATCTATTGCTATCTCACTACTTTAGTACTAACCAAGTAGTTGGAGTTGAAGCAGCAGCAGAACAAAAACAAAAAACAAAAACAGGGTTGTACTTCATACTAATAGTGTTGTAAAAGTTCAGCGTGTACGGGTTCAACAATAAGGGATCTTCAATTTCGTGGCACATTCGTATGACCGCGCCTAGGCTAGTTTCGATTTAAGTTGATTTGTAGCTAACTATATACATATATAAATATGTATGTCTATGTATGTATGTATTTCTATATACTATTATATGTTAATTTAACCCATTTACAAATACGCCCTATTTCTATCTCAATATCTATATTTTTACTAAAAAGCCAGTGTTGTAAAATGTCTCAAGAGTCAACTGTACTTATTTATATGTGCTTAGCTTTAAGTTTTATATTTTAACTAACCACCTATCCTACCCTACCCTATCCACTCCTATTCCAACTTATATTTCCTCTGTTTTTTATGTATATATAAAAAAAAAATTAAAAAAAAAAAGCTAAATCCCCCTCCAACGCTTTCCTAAACCATAACGCTAGCTTAATGCTAAATACCTAACATTAACTTGTAGTACAAAAGAATTTCTTCAAATATTATATACAGACGCAAATATATGTTTATGTTTATGAAAGTAATAAATGTTTAGCTTTAAGGGTCTACAATAAAAAAAAAGACACACTCAAATAACTTTACAGTAACTGAAAAAAAAAAAAGCAATACATTTTCGGCGTACTTTTAACTTTAGCTTCCAAATCGACCCCAGCACAACTTTAACTACAACAATTTGCACTTGCCGATCTTTGTTTATGTTTGTTTGTCCCAAGCGTAAGTATACAAAATATTCGTATATTTTTTATGTCCTTATGTCTTGGCACGTTTTAATACTTTACTAACACAACGTTCTCTCGGCTATGCACAGCACAAATTGCGAATGTTTCCTAACCACAAGTCACTTTTATTAATTTTATTTATATGATTGCTATCAAAATTGGTCTCGAATCGAACGACTTGCGTATTAATCACACAGCAACGTCTGTGTCCACATAGTCTGGGTGCAAAGTTCAAACACTCCCAAAATAGATTACGCTAATGCAACCAGACTAAAAGCAACAATGACTCAAGCACTCTCGTACTGTCTATCTTAGTACAGATTTGAATGTGAAAGGCGGCTTATCGCAACGGAAAGACGATTAACGAAATCAAGAAGAGCTCTATATTAACATATTCAAGATTACATAAAAATAATCCAGCTCAGGAAAAGTATTTAAGCAAGATGAGCTCACTTACAACTTTCAAAATCAACTCAAAATACTACAGCTTAAAGTCGATATGTATATATCAACGATCAATCGATAAGCTATACTTTCTATGAGTAAAAAAGGCTGACAAACCTAACTAATATCAGTTAAAAGATTCCTTAATATATTAAGCTCAGTTGAGGGGCTTTTACTTGACCTCAATATTTATTTATTCATTGTTATTTGTTTAGCGCTTTATTAATTATTTGCACTGTTTATTTATCATGACTACACTATGAACTTTGGCATAAACACAGTTATAGAGTTGCGAAAGTTATTCCGAGGGAGAGTGAAAGAGAGAGAGAGAGACAGAGAGAGCAGCCGATGACAGCCCACATTCCCACTCACACACAATCACAGAAACACGCTACCCCACACACACATACAGCTCGAGCGCCGTTTTAACATTTTCCTTTTGTACAAATCAATTGAAGTTGCCTGCCACAATGCTGAACATATTGCACATTGTATTTTTATAACTATGAAAATTTAAAAATATTCAATACTAAATAACATAACATATTAAACACTCATTCACACACACATTCATACAAACCTAGGTAGTCATTTGTTTAAACTGTTGCCAAATTTTTGACGTTGCAGCATTAGTCACAATTATATAGACAAATACATACACAATTAGTCGGCTGGCATGCATTTGGCCACTGCCATGGCCAAGTTCAAAAGTGGCCTCTGATCAAAATCGAAGGCGACTTTGTTGATGATGCACACGAATTGGTAATCTTATATTACGCCGCGGGCCATGTCAGTTGGCAAGTTGACTTTGTTTAAAAATGAAATGGCGCGGCTCCACAATTAACACTTCAGCGCTATTTAATTAATTATGTTTCTTTGTGATTTGTTTGATTTCACAATTCGAATAACAATCGTTTATATGTTAAATGTTTTGCAGAATTAGTTTCCTTGCACAACAACAACAAAACACCATAAATAACAGTCATAACAGAGCAGCTGCTCAGCGTAGAGTTGCCAGCTCAAAAGCCGTTATAGTGATTATATACACATATTTAATAGTTACAGCTATTGATAATAAATTACTCAACTACCTGCATGAAATAGCTGCAATTACATGCACTATTTTTTAGTATTTTGGAGCGCACAATATTTAATATATATTGATTATGTACACAATATGCTCACAAAGCAGTCTGGCAGCGCTGCATTACAAACAGCTGTTGTGCACACTGCTCGCTGTGAATGGCAAAAATACACCTGTTAATTTGTTTATGTGTGCCTTATATTCACTCTCTATCTTCGTTTAGATATCAATTTAAAGAAACACGTCAAATTTAAATCAAGCAATGATACACGAAATACCAACCCCGATGAGCTTGATGCCTACGTACCGCTTAACAAGTTGCGCAAGGCGACAATCCTCAAGCTGCAGCTGACGCCAGAATCACCGAGTGCCGCTTACAATGTTTTTATACGCGCCGAGCGTAAAGCAGATGTTTTTCTTGGTAAGTTTCAACACAGCTAATCAATTAAAAGGCAACTTGGCGAACTCGCTAGACGCATATAACTGAACAAATATAATTAAGATGCGTCGTTTTCTGAACCACGAAATAAACATAGAAAAACAAAAATAAAAACAACAACAAGCTAACCGGTGATCGGGGCTCGCTTGTAGAGATAACGCTGCTCGCCTGTGCTTGATAACCGTATCAACCTTGGGCGTCATTTGAGCGGAATGATTGTTGACGCCATCCAAAGACCTGCTTTTCTGCACTAACGGCAACAACAACAACAATCATACATATTATCGGAATCCTGCTTCTAGAAACTACTTCCGGTCAATTCAATTACCAATTCTTTGCTCAATTACAGGTGAAATTATTAAACGCATCGATAGCTACTATTCCCATGCTGTGCACGAGAGTCCCTTGGCTTCTTTGGCGCGCTCGGCAAAGCTCAAGTTTCCCGAGACGCGGGAAAAGCTAGAGAACGAAGTGGATTCACCCAAGAGTGAAGTAGAAACCTTCTCGGAAACGGAGCTAGTACAGCCACCGACGAATCTGAATCAAACTCAATTTGCCGCTGCCACGGGAGAGCCGCAGCGTGCCAGCTTGAATGCTATGTTGCTACAGCGCTGCGGCACCAAAATCGAACTCAATACTCAGTCGCAGCTGCTCCTAAATGCGGGTCAGGTCGCCACGCTGCTGTTTGAAGTGACCAATATGCGCGCGGAGCGTGTCTATCAGACGGTGCAGGTGACGGATGAGCGACGCTTCTTAGTGCAGCTAAGCCCAACGGGGTGAGTGAGCAAAGAAACTGGAGGCAGGATTATTTTTGATGCGAACTCCCTCTCTTCCCGCCTCTCTCTCTTTTAGCTTCTATTTGCGTGCGCGGGAAACAGGCACCGTGCGTCTGACTGTCCTAGCGCCGACGGGCACCTCGCCCGGCACCACGGACAGAGTCACATTTACTAGCTATGGCACAGAAACGGCCACTTTGGCGGTTAGCCTAAAGGTCGTGTCCAGCATCGATGCGCAGGTCTGTTACAGAAATATCTAGAACTAGCCACAGTTTTATATGACATACTGATATATCTTTAGGATACGACTGGTCCCAATCTCTCTTGGGAGTTTGGCAATCGCTGCGACTATGTGAAGAGCGATGAACAAAACTGTGGCGATCGCTTCTGGACGCTGGATGTCACTGCCCAGGACTGGCAATCAGGCATATTGCGTTTGCAGTCTACGCCCGCGGATGGTCTGTTCTATCGCAATTACTATACGGCGGGCACCACGGAGCCTATGAAGGCCACATATATGGCCTCCTGCTGCGAACCGAAGGTGGCCTTAACGGCATTCGACGCGGCGGGCAACCAGCGCAGCATCAACATTGATGTTCGAGATATTGTACTGACGGAGGCGGCCATCGCTGCCATTTGCCTGGGCGCCATTCTGTTGCTGTTGCTGATTGTACTGCTGATTTGGAGCATTATGTGGTGCTGCAAGCGGCGCAAGGTATCACTGGAGCTGCCCACGTATCGCTCGCACTCGACTCGCAGCATGGAATAGATTAAGAGAGGGAGCCGCTGGCAAATCAAAATAACAACAATAACTAAATATATATGTAAAGACGAACTTTAAGTGTTGCCCAATAAAAATACCGTTAACTGTTAACGCTTATCAGTCGAAATGTGGTACATGGAAGCAACAAGTGACAATTGACTCGCTGCTCTCTTTCTGTGTCGCTCTCTCTCTCTCCCTTTGTCAAAAACTTGCACTCCACTCTTTCTCACTCTTTTTGTCTGACACACTTACCGCGTTTGAGAATGCCAGCGATGAGAGCGTTAGCTGGCTGTGCGGGTGGTGCATGGTGCACCACAGGCGGTGCCGCTGGCAGCAGCAGCGGCTTATTGGGAAAGTCATCATAGCTGAGACCCGTCACGGAGGCGCTGAGCAGTGGATTTTTAACAATTCGATTTGCATTGTTGTTGACGCGCGACGACGACGACACGTCACCTTTGGAGCGTTCGGACATGTTTACAATCGCGTTTCAGCACGGCACAGCGCTCTGATCAGACGTTTATATGTTGCGCAATGCAAACTGCGGCACAGCAACTATGCTGTTTGTTCGCACAGTTGGCAAAATAGTTCAGAAAATAAGGCAGTCAAAAATTTACTTGCAACGCGCACAGTACCTACACCAGGGCTGCAGCGTTTCAGACTCGCTCGTTTAATGATTAGCCCTGGTTGTGCTCTTTCGTTCAATTTGGCGAAACGTTTACTTGTGAATGGCAAGCTTTTAATTGGCGGTTATTTCATTCTCATTTTTTTTTTTCGTTTTGCTTATTTTTTGTTTTATTATTATTATTATTTTTAATTCTTAGTATAGATAAAACTGATGTTGATCACAATAAAATAATTTTCCCTTTGTCAATAATTGATTATTTTTTTGTAATCTCTCACGATAGAACAATTTAACAGTGATAACAGCTGTTAAAGTAAGCTTTTAAAAGTTGTCTATTTGTCGTTTCTATAACTGTGGAAAGTTTTTAATTTTTGGAAATAGTTCTAATGCTATATCACTAGTGTACGGTTGACAAACACAAACCCGTCATAATTTATTTCAATAGAATATTCTGATTTGTAAGAAAGGTGTGTCAATATGTTTCTATATACATGTAAACTTAGCCGGTATTTACGTAGCCGCTCTATATAAAGTAATAGAAACTCGAAATAAAAAGTGAGAGAATAATATGCGCACACATTTTAAGTCCAAATACGCGCATTGGCAATTATTATATAAAATATGGCTGCTATTCCACCTGTTGCATTTGATTTCTCCCGAACTACACTTCATAATCAAAACAAAAGAGCTTTTAAAATAGACATACTGTAATTCATTTCAATAGTAGATGTGTATGTGTGTTTTTCTCTCTGTCTCTTACGGTCTCTGCAGATACTGTTATAGACTCAAGAGCTCTGCAAGTATAGCTAGCAGGCATATGTATGTATATGTAAATAAATATACATACATTAACAGAATAATTACTATGTACATGAGTTCTCCTGTTCACGAATGTAAATATACATACATATATAATAAATATACTATATTAATATAGGGGATAGTTGAGTAAATAATGCGATTAGTAAAGAATTATTAAGCTACAGATTAATTAGTGATAATTTCATAAAAATGTTAATGTTAAAATCGGTATCTATCCATTCGAAAAAACACTTCCATTAGACATAATTAATTTATTTTGTAAAATCCATAATGTATTTAGAGTATACAATTTTAACGAATACTTCAGTCATTTTGCTTCTAAAATAATGGGAGCCTCACCAAACATTTAAAATTTATAAATACATACATATATGCCGC